GAGTATTCTAATTATTTAAGTTTTTTCTGACGCAACTTAAACGTTGCTCGGGTCATGTCAGACGGGAAGCGGCTTGACCAAAAAGGATAAAAATAAACACGCATTCTCATCGCCATGCTGGCAAACGTACATATATTATTGGTTCTGTTTGTTATGATATCGGACCAATAACTATCGTACACCCCTATTGATTAGCTGTGTTGATCATTTTCAATTGGGTTGACTTTGAAGTTGTACTTATATATTTATTATTTTCTTAGTGAGTTTTAGTGGGATGGATCCAGTGGTGGTGAGGTACGTAGTGAACAGACTGGGTTCATTCCAGCACTTAAAGCCTACGTTTTTTAAAGTCTGTGTTGGTATGATATTCAGCTACTACCACACTGAATGTTAGCTAAATATCAGTAACATTGACTGAGRTGTAAACTTTTATGTGTTGGCTAGGTTTGCTTTGATGTGGCTGCTGTCTAAAAATGGTTGAACTCTAATTTTAAAAGTGGTAAACATTAAATAATTAAATCTGTCCAGAGACTAATGAGGATTTTGCTAATGCCAGAGGACGTAGGCGRCCACGGCTCTGTGATCTGACCGGTCTTTCTCCAGATTTTACGATGTTTTGTAGATCTCCCTCATTGGTCGTAATGAGGACCGTGTCATCAGCATAGCATGAATTGTCGACATTTTTACCACAACTCTGACGCCAGGCATTCCATTCCTTTGWGCTAACAGACACATAAACATCTGGTGAAAGACATGATCCTTTACCTTCAGCRGGGGGATGATGACGTTTAACCTGTTTTGGACTTTAATGCTCACAGCACCATCGTGTCAGAAACCTGGCTGTTCAAGGTTAAGCCTGGTCCTGTTTGGACTCACAGTACCCCCCTCCCCCCGGCCCAGTCAGCYGTAACACTAACCCAGTTCCAGTGGTGGAAAGTGCTTCTTGCAGAGTTCACCCTGATTKTAATGGATTTATTGGACAGAAAGTGACGTCTCTGAGTGGACCGTGATGCGTTCAGGTCAAACTGGATTTTCCATGAAGTCGTCACGTTGATTAGACCTGGAATAATCTACATGTCAGAGTTGTAAAGTAACTAAGTACAAATACTTTGTTGCTGTACTTAAGTAGAACTTTTGGGTATCTGCACTTGAGTAATAATTTTTCAGCCTACTTTTTACTTCTTACATTTTTAAAAAAGACAAGAAGTATAAAGTTGTTCCTTTTATTTC